CCCCCCCCCCAGTTTCCTGCTAACTGATGTGGCAAACATTTCAGATTGTTAAATCTTTTAATGTCCTTATAAAACTGTGATAACTTTACAGAATAACTTGTGAATTACCTATACAGACCAGCTGCTTTCAGATTTCATATAATTAGATCATACTTCAAAATGGACAGTTTTGTCAGTCAGCATACTTAAAAGATTTAACAAGGATTCATAATTTTGATAAATTGAAATCAATCACATGTAGTTATTTTTAGTAGAAGACAGCTATTTTTTTTTCTTTTGTAAAAGCTTACCATATTCAGTATTAAGACCCCAAAGTTTAACTTTGTTGGCTTCATACTGAGCTTTCTTTTTCAGTCGGCAAGCCCTGTGATATTGAGAAGAAAGGAAAAGAATTGAAAGTGAGATATTGTTCCAGTTGTTCAGAATGTTCATCACACACATAATCAGAGGTTCAGAATATTAGGTGTTACCAAGTGGTATCCAGACTATAATTCCTGATTGCAGCACTCATTTCTCCTTTCACTAACAAAATGATTTCTGTATGAGTATTTATTTATTAAACATATTTCTATCCCATCACAATCAAAAGACTCTCAGGGGTTTACATGGAACAAATAATACAATTTAAAACATGCACAGTACAATCTTAAAAACCAGCAGTTATAAATAGGAACAATAAAATGACATTAAAACAAAAATGATACCATAAAATTAAGGAAAATAAAGTTGGCAACATCTTATCATCACAAAATACTATAGCTTTCAGTAATACAATTAAGTGTAACCATGCTGGCTGCACACAGCAGGCTATTATGATCAGGGACTCTTCCAATGTGCTATGAGGGGTGTGGGGCAAGGGAGTGAGGGAGAAGCAATCGTTTGCATAGAATGGTTCTTATGATTAGACTTAACCAAACCCTCAGGTACAAAGCCATGACTTCCAGAATAGCTTTTTTTTTCAATATACCAGTCTGCAAATGCTTATCAATAGGAGGAGGAGGAGGATTTATCAAATTTGTATGCTGCCCAACACTCAACAACTCTGGGCAGCTCACAACAATCAATCAAAATATAAATAATCTATACAAAATATAAACAATATGATATTATACACACACACAAACATACATAAACCTAAAATATAACAGAACAAACTGAATTGCTAGCATTTTATTTAAGAAATTGTTACCTAGAGGCAAGTTTATTTTTTTCTTTCCTTGATCTTGGTCTTGCTGTTAAGGGAAGTTCACTGACAGGGGTCAAATCACTAATTACTTTATTCAGTTTCCTAAGTTCATTTCCAATTTGTAGCAGTTTTTTAGGGTTAGGTGTCAGATCTTCTACATCAGTCCTTCGTGACTTTTTAACAGCATATTTTCCTATTTAAATATATACAAAAGTAATCAATAGGTTGCAAATTCACATTCAATTTGTGGAAATACGTTAAGCTACAACTTGGTATGCTTTCATGTTGATCTGCCAGCACTATATCTCACATAATACAACTAAGAAGTCTATATGGACTTTAAACAAACTACAAAGCATGTTAGCAGTAACATAGGCACAAAAGAAAAAAGATCATACTGCAGGTGCAAGATGTACAGTCAGAAAACCAGTAATACATCTGTTTATTTTAGGCTATTTTGCATTTAATATAAAGCACTTTTAATAAACGGTGATGTAACTAAAGACAACCACTATCACCAATGCCATAAAAAATATTATTTTCATTTCTTTCACCAAAGTTAATGTCTAGAAATGCAGATTATTAATGCATTTCCTGCAAAGAGGGAGATGAGAACAAATACTGTCAAGGTATCACAAATGATATTAAAAAGTAGGAAATATTTCTAAGTTGCAGAAGCAAATCGTTTTCCTATCTTCCTTCAATTGCTTCAATAAATTAATTATTTAATAATTAATTTATTATTTAATAATAAATTATTGGAACAGTGAATAAAAGTTGTTTTACTTAAAAGAAAACTGTGATGAGGAAGTTTTGGAATATTATCAACATTTCAGTACTTCCATGACCCTATCCAGTGTTAACCCAATCCATGTTAAACAGTTTTAGAATGCCTGGAGATCTTACTTAAACAAGACAGAGGAAATTCTGACAAACTTTAAGAAGTATGCCCATGCACCTGTAAAGAACAGTTCTTACCGTGATGTAATCCGTTCTTCTGATACATATTACTTGGTAAGGTGTCTCGATTCCACTCAGAAGGCCTTAACATTCTCTCCTGCTGTGATGGCGTCAGTTGTTCACTATATTCCCAGAAGTATCTTCGCTTGCCTCTTTTTCGACAAGATATTGCAGTCATTTCTTTCAAATCTTCTACAGAATCATTTTCAAAACCTAAACATTTATAAAGTTGTACTTTTATAGAGCTTGTCCATAACAAATGGACCACAGATAGAGAGAAGAGAGTACATCAAAAGTAAGGGTAAAGAGGATTGGAATAAAGGGAAAGTGAAACTTTAAACATTGACAATTTCTGGCAATGTTCAAACTTTTTCCAAATTGACTGCTGACAGAGAACTCTCAGATTTTTATGGACAAAATATTTTTAACCTCCGGGCTGATGGCATAGGACTTTTGCAGAACTTCTCTTAACCATTTTGTTCTTAAGCAGAGGCTGGAACTAGCGGCAATTATTTATCGAACTCTCTATTTCTCAGCTAATGTTCCCTTCAAGTCAGCATTCTACCTCTTTGGTTTCAGAAAGTCAAATGCTCACTGATTCACTGCAGGCATGCAGTATACAGTCAGATACAGAGAAAAGTATGAACTGGTGTTACAGTGTAATATTATATTACATTATATTACATGCATATAATTTTTTTAGCTTCCATACTATGGATATTGCTTTAAACAAAAAGTGAAATTTTACTCTTTCCAAATCATACTAAAGAGGCATTTTCTAATCTCATATTATAATAGGTACCTGGTTTCCCAGACTAGATATAAAATGCTTTTTTTCACAGAAGCCATTTGTACTTGCATCTGTTTATGCTCATGGAAAATGAATGTTAAATAGAAGGCTATATACCATGAATGATTTATATTAGCCTTTATATTAATTATGCAATGGACAGAATAATAAATCACTTTATCTTGATACACAACAAGAAGCAGTGGCATTTATTCATTACAATGATAAACACTATTTCTGGAAAAATTTCCATATAGATCATAGAGCATGGCAGTCATTAGGGCCCATCAAATTATTATATATGACACAAACATTTCCAAATTGTTAAAAAAAACCCTCTAAATGGAAGCCTTACAGGCTGTTATCTATACTGCTGATGGTTTACAGCGTACCTTAAAATAAAGCAACCTCACCAGTGTTATATAAGACATTAAGACAACACTGTTGCATTCTAGCACACATAATGTGCTTCCTTTAGTTACATTAAGCAAGAAGTTGTTCCATATAGCTAAAAACTCATTTTTCAATTTTAGAGTGTGTGATGCTTTCAAGAGCAGCAAACATCTCCAAAAAGAGTGGCTTATTAGTTTGGCTCTAGATCAAGGATCCTCAAACTTTTTAAACAGGGGGCCAGTTCACGGTCCCTCAGAATGTTGGGGGGCCGCCGGACCCGGCATACCTGTCATGCAGAATAGTCCGGCTCTGCGATCTCCCTCCTCGTGCATCGCCTGCAGCTCCCCACACAGTCCCGACACTTCCGCTTCTGACAGACAGCAGCGGCGGCCAATCAGGCGGGCGGGCCATACTTTGAGAACCCCTGGTCTAGATCATATGAATTTAATTACCTGGTTCAGAAAATGTATCACTGATGTCATCATCTTTATCATCCTCATAATCTTCCTCTTCATCATTTTCAGATAGTTCATGCTCACTTCCAAAGCCTTCATCATGGTCTTCATCCTCCACCTCTTCCTCATCATCCTCATCCTCATCAGGGTCAGCATTGCCTGCTTGATCAGCTGATCCATCACTGACAAAAAGAGAATAATTATGTTCTTCTTTTTTCTGTGAAGGATCTGAAACTGAGGTGCTAGCAGAGAGATTGCTCTTCTCAGCAGTAAGTCCTGGAGTTTCCTGGGGTGGAGTGAGGAGCAGAGCCTGAGTCTCTTTAAAAGGCAATACAGGAGCACTGTGATTCTGAAGTGGGTCAGTTCCTTTCTGCTCTTGTCTCTTTGCTACAGCTCCACAGTAGCAGGTGTTTTCTTTTGCAGCATCAGCATTTGCCTGGTTCATGGCAGATCTGTTCTGGTGCACTGGATTTATCTTTACTTTTGCCTTTTTAACATAATCCTTACATTCAACATGAATATTCACTTTCTCATTATTGTACATATTGGTCTTAACCATGATTTGTGTGCTTGAATTGGCCTTGCTTGCTTTCTGAGTAAATTCGGATAAAGGTGCTTCAGCCTGAGCAGTTTTTGATGAACAAACTGGGGCTGCTGCTCTTGTTGTAATTTTCTTGGTTGGCAGAGAAGTTAATTGGGTTTGTTTTGCATTGAACAGCAACTCTGGGTAGCACAGTGGATCTGAGACAGGCTGAGAATCCTCACTGTTGAGCTGAGCCAGAGTCGGAGTTTTACTTATTACCTCTTCATCCTGATATGGGCTTGAAAAATCATCAAGACCCAAATAGTCCACCTCTTTTGTTCCCCAAATGTCACAGCTGGTTAATTTTGTATACTTCGTTAAATCTTCACAGTAAGTATCCCACTGATCCCAATTTGCAGGGAAAGACATTTCAGTATCCAGAATCTCAGTAAAAGTCTCTAAGCTCTCAAATTCTTTACAATCATCTACAGAAAGGAGATTGTCCCTGGAACTCTGTTGGTAATCCATTCCTCTGTCCTATTAAAGCAGATACAGATAAGCATATCAATAACAGTTCATGCATTTTCTATCCAGATTCTCACCCCATCAGCCAGCTAAGACCAAAAGAAATTAATAATTAAATATATCAGCCTTGAAGGGAATAGTACACAAAGCAACTTAAAGCAGTAATTCTAAAGTAAGTTTCATTGAACCCAGTGCACTTTCCAAATGAACATACATAGGCCTATGCTGTGTATCAGTTCTGAACATTTGGGAGTTTGGGGAGTCAACAATTCCTATGCTTATCTCAATGCTTACTTGCCGATAGGAACACCTCATCAGTTCTAGTATCTTATAGACCATTCCTCTCTTAAAAGCTCAATAAAACATCAGAGACCCTGAATGAATCAGAACAAGAAACAAAGTGGTAAGAAGTCCATTCTTTCTTGAATTAATCCCATAACATTCAGATTCTGAAAAGCTTTATTTTAATTATATTGATTAAAGACTATATTATTTAAAAATATATTTAAAATGGGCAGAAAACATCAGCCCAAATGATCAAAAGTCTGAAGCAAATCTCCTAATTGGTAAAGATTACAATGTTTGGAACTATTTGGTTTAGAAAAAATGTGAGTAAAAGCATATATGGTATAATTTAAAAATGTACACATGACAGAGATAAAAGATATAGCAAATGTATATATACAAATTTTGCTATGTCTGTTATCTCTGTCTCTCAAACTCTCTCACAAACATACACACACACTCGTATGTATATGTGTGTGTGTCTGTGTATGTACGTGTATATGTATATGTGTGTGTGTGTATACACACACATACCAATGAAATTGAACAGTGTGAAATAAATGGAAATTGTGCACTGGGTACAACTGATAGCCACTGCTAGATAATTTTAAAATTGATACGCTTAGGAAAGACAAGGATATTAATGGTAACTAGCCAGAATGGCTATATGCTACATCCTGAAGGAGAGGGAGCATCACTCTCAATACCAAGTGCAGAGGAAACTGAGGAGAGAGCTACTGCCTCCTTTTATCATGAGGGAAAAAATCTTGCAGGCATCCTGTAAGCATCTTTGGGAAAACTATTGTTTTGAAAGGTAGCATATAAATTTATAAATGAAAGAACTACATAGGCTTTTGGTGTGTGTGTGTGTGTGCACACACACACACTTTATATACACACTGCATTATAATAAAGCTGATATGCTTAAGAAAAGGATCAAAATTAGGACAATTTTTAGACAAATATAAAAATCAAGATATATACAATATATCAAACACATGGTAGACAAATATATTTATAAAGTATTACTACATGATAATTTCATAATTGTTTTAAACTATATTCCAAGAGGAAGAAAAATGCAGAAATGGAACAAATTATCAAAAGGGAGGCTGTGGCATCTTTTAGGATTTCAAAGGGTAGCTTCATCTGAGTTTCTTTAGGAACGAGATATGCTTCATGCAATTAAAGGAAAATAATGTAGCTTACCAATTCATACATGAAATCTGGGTCAGAATTGTTAGCCAAGAGATCTGTGCTGATCAGAGTCTGTTCTGAAAACATGTGGCTTTGAAAGGCATCTCCAAAAGGAGGGTCCATTCCACTCACACTAGGCTATAATAAATTAATATTAGTTTAGAACTTAAAACTTCCCAATTTTATTATAAAACAAAACAAAAATATCAATCCTTCAAACATTACATCTTTTCCTATTTTTTTCATTCTTACAATGGATCAAGAATAAACATTTGAGCTTAACAACCTTTTAACATTTCCTATACATATGTGTATTATGGTTCTGCCTGAGTTCCCAAGATGTGCTAAGCCAGTTTGGTTTAGCATTTTTCTGAACCCATTATTATTTATGGCTTAGAAAATTCTGTGAATCCAGCCACTGTGATTTATTCAATAAAAATTATCAAAACAAATGAGGGGTTTGCAGAAGATATGATCCCTACATCTTTCTACCCTATCTACAATATTTGTAATTAAATAAGAATATACTGTAGCCATCTAAACTTTTTAGTTTTATTTGTAACAAAAATTACCCTCTTCATCTCTTATCCTTCTGTAACATTAAGGTCAGAAGTGGTAGCAAGATATACATGCTTTCTTCCTTGTTTTTCTTTGATGTTCTTTCCCAACAACATGTATTCCTGTTTTAAGCAATCCATCAAAGTATGTTCTATTTTTTGAAAGAATAACCATGATGCACTGGTGGATACTGAATTACATACAGTTCTTTTAAGCTGTTATTTTGTTTTTGAAAAAGTATTAAAAGTTGCTTAGGTGTATTGGTGTGTATTGGGCATTTACCTGAGGCATTTCAGGTAAATCCTCCAAATCCAAATCCAAATGTTTTGTTTTCCTTGCTTGCAAATTATGTTCCAGCTTTTTTTCCGAGTCAGTAGGCAGCATATAACTCATACAATGGTGAGTTGCAGATTTTTTGCTAGGAAAATTTTTACTCTGATTACTTAGAATACTTATTTCTCTGGGGAGTTTCTGCCTGAAATGAAAACAAAACCATTAAATCATTTTACATCAAATGCATACATACATATATACCTGTCATCCTATTTCCTTTTAGGTTAAACGAAACCACAATCTCAGAACCATTTTGGCTTCTTTTAGCAAACACTCATTCTTCACAACAGACCATGTGCTATCTAACACCCTTTTACCAGCATTTGCATGCCTTAAGATATCTCCACTTTCCCTAGCTTAGTTAGTAAACATGCTACTAAGAACACAAATCCATCTACTTCCTTCAGTTTTTCTCCACTGATGTACAACTTGCAATCATTCACTCCATTTTCCATATCAAACACAACTATCTTAGTCCTCCTTTTTGCTGCAATCATTTTTACATCCATCTCTCATCCACAGCCTCTTTCTCTTCATCCTATCTTTTTTCATATTTCCTATTAGCATAATTGCATAGATTTCAGAGGCAATTTGTAAAGTAATTCTGTTCCAAGCAGCTTCCACATAATCTTTTCTTATGCCTACTTGGATTGTGTTGGCGATTAATCTAATCTAATCTAATCTAATCTAATCTAATCTAATCTAATCTAATCTAATCTAATCTAATCTAATCTAATCTAATCTAATCTAATCTAATCTAATCTAATCTAATCTAATCTAATCTAATCTAATCTAATCTAATCTAATCTAATCTAATCTAATCTAATCTAATCTAATCTAATCTAATCTAATACTTTTTCATATAGGATTTGTACTTTCTATTCCTGCAGTTGTTCTACTTCCATTCTATTTCTTTTACATTTTTCCCTTTTTTCTATTGTCATTTTTTTCCTAAGATCCATCACTGATACTACAAAAAATGGTCTATTCCACATTTAGAATCACTCATCAGCCTCATGAATTCTCTCAGTCTTTCATCCTAAATAATCAAATCTACTTGTTTCTTTCAACGACTTGCACATTTTAGACTGTTTTTTAAACACACCTGTAGTATGAGTACCATCAGCTGAAAACTACTGCTGCAAGGGATCTTGCTTTCAGGTCCTTTAAGGCTTTAGATATTAGTATCAACACTCTGAGTTATGTTTGGAAACAAACAAGTGGCCAGTGCAGTTGTTTTAGAATATGTTTCCTTTATCTAGCTCTGCTCTGTAACATAGTTTTGTGTTCAGAATTAATGGCTGTTTCTCAGTTGTTTTCAAAGGCTGCCCACACTGAATGTAAACCAAACTGTATGTTACCAGGATGTGAAATTGGTTCAGGAAGCCACATTTCAATATTCTAATGAGTATCAAAGTAGAACCAGCAGATGGAACTGCTTCAGCCTAATGTTAATATTCAGATGAATATTTTAACATGGGCCAAATGTTTATGCTTCTACAATAACTGGCACTGTGTGTCACAAGAAAGTAAATGTTCCTATAGATTGAGAAGAATCCACATCCACACACAGGAGAAGCTGCTCATTATGACTTTGCAGAAGCAACTGATTATGCTTTCAGCCTTTGCTGATGACTGGCCATTTTGTCATTATGGAATAGAATATAACTACTTGTATAATTATTCCTAATATAACAGAATTACCTTCAGAGGGGCACATGTCATGCAGAATCATAAAAGCATAGCCACCTTTTATTATAATGTGTAAAGCTATTTTTTCAAGTGTAAGAAAACATATACCTCCAAATATGATTCCAAAAAAATAAAGTATAAAAATTATCTGAATATGCATATCAAGTTTCCAAACAGTTTGAAGAGTTTCTATTCCAGTCAGTATATGAATGATTATGCAGAAGTAATTGATTGAGCTACTGCTATTATTTTAATGTTTTACTGGCTTCATTTGTTGTGTTTTTAATGTTCTACTGTTACTTTATGATTGTGGTGTTTTGTGAAGCCTTTATATTGTTCTACTACTGCTTATTACAGTACTGGAAAGGGAGAGTAAACTTTTATGAAGATGATCTAAAATTCATTAGAATAAACACCCATAAATTAAGCATATAAAGTAGAATAACTGGATGACAACTTTGTACATAGTAAGAATAATTCTCCATAAAAATTCAGTGAAACAGCACATTAGGATGTAACAGAATAAGAAAACAAAACAAATCCTAATAACTATATATTTCCAATAAAACTTCTCCCTTAGATCAGCCTTTTTATAAAGAATTAAATTTTCTTAGAACTTCTACCTATAGCAGCTATATTTTGACAAACCTGATGATTAAGATTTTGGGCAGGTTGTTACACAGCACCAATTGAGCTAGGCACACTAAGCACAGCAAGATAACATTAGCAAAATAACTTACACAGTACTGTGGCACTTTCTATTAGGATACAGAAATGGCATTGTTCATTAGTGACTCTAGAAGCAAAGGCCTCAATTAAATCAATTTACTGAAACAAATATTTTAAGTTGGTCGCTTTTCCTGCAGTGAGATAAAAAAATATAATTCTCATAATTACCTTTTGGCAAGATAAAAACTGCATATTTGTAAATTAAAGCTGACTTCTGTTGTTCCAATATTCTGTTTCAATTTGCTCACAAATGCTTTACATGTTGTGTTGTCTCTCTTTTCAAGTGTAGTGAAATATTGCATTTAAACTTAAGGACGCTGCAGATCAGCTTGAAAGCTTACGTGAATGTGCTGGAATAACTAAATTATTCCAAATTAAATAATTAAATTTGGTTCCATACAATAATAGACAAGCAAAACAGCACAAGGATCACACCTGGTTCTGCCCATATGCATCACCTATGTTTATTCTATAAATTATATTTATTTCATGAAAATTTATTTATTTATTTATTTATTTATATTTCAAATTTGTCACTGCCCATCTCACTGCAGAGCGACTCTGCATAATCATTCATATACTGACTGGAATGGAAACTGTTAAAATGCTATAAACTAAGTCATTGCTTAGCAAGTTGTTCCTCTCCTATACTTACTGACATGAAAAAGTATCCCTTGAAGCATTTATGCAGGCATTGATGATATATGATTATAACCCCAAGACTATAAAGGCATATGGTTTAATACACAGAAGCTATCACTGAATGTGTTAAAACTACTGCCTTGCCAAGCAAAGTAAAATTACAGCAGTTTTGCTAGCTTTTTTATCAATTAATTTTCATATTACTATTTAACTGTTATTTAAGGGAAAATCTGCCTTTGCTAAACATTAAGTGCTATTCAGTCATTTGGAATTACTAAATATGAAAGGAATTGGAGTTTGGGTGGGCTTCACAGAATCCTGGTAACTTGTGTAGACACAAATTATCAAAATTTAAAGAGTTCTGAATCACAGAGGATCCAGTTCAGTTAACTAAGCAGCACTGCACAAGGCAGTGTATGTGTATGTTTATTTATTTATAGGTTAGTAATTAACATAGATTTTGTAGCTGTGAAGTGCTTTAGATTCGATTCCAAAAAGGTCCACTGGAATACAAGGAAGTGCAAATACAGCACCTGTCTGCAACTCTGCATTTTTTTCTTGGGACTGTGCAGCTGGTTCAAAAGATGCAGGCCTTTAAAAACCAGACAGGTACTGTGCTCATACGCCCCCCCCATAGCAACATCAGATGCAAAGGAGGATAAAAGCTCCTGAGAGAACAACTGCAAGTACTACTTGTAATGCAAGAAAAAGAGAGACACATCTGAAATTTTTGCTATGAGGAAAATGAGAAATATAGGTAACCATAATGTCTACTTTCACTAATTACTGCAAGGAAAAAAAAAATCCCTAATTGTTTGTAGCACGGATTTAAGTCTAAGTAGGATTCCATATCCTTTTGTTCTGACTGCTCCAATCACCCTGCTTGAATCCTTTAAACTGCTTCAGTAGGTGAACACAGCAGCATCCTGAACCATCTGATTTTCAGTTTGCTTTCTGTTTTAATGGAAAAGCAACAATTGCAAACCACACCCAGATGATTTAGTCTAGGAAAATGTTCTTTTTCTTCTTATTGAAATTTCAAAGGACTATGAGAATTCTTTGTTCAAAACAATAGTTTTTTTAAGAAGAATAGGAAAGTGTTCACTTTTCTGATTCCAGAGTTCTTACTTCCTTAATTTTTTTAAACTGACTTCCAGAAGATGGCCTTTCAAACTCTTGAGAACAATATTTATAGAAAGATCTTTTTCTGTGTATAGCTTGTGCTTAATACTAGTCTATAATATATCAGTTATCACAGCTGACAATGAACAGCTCATTTTTATACCTCCTCTCTCAGTTTGTGGAGGGTCTCCACTTTCATTATGACATTTATTCTAGCTCCAGTGGCACAGAGAATCCCTGACAGTACAACTATGATCTCCCCAGCATAGCCAGTGAGCAGGCATGACAGGAATTGTATCATATACATCTAGAAGGCACCTAGTTAATTATCTAGAAATTATGCTTCTTAACAATTATGTCCAAGGCCTTTTTTCCACAAATATATGAGATAGCAAGCCCATCTGAAGTGTTGTTCTGGTCACTATACCTCTGAAAAGATATTGTAAAGCTAAAAGAAGGTGCAAGAAAGATAACCAAAATTATTATGGGAATAAAGCCATTATCCACTATAGAGAAATTATATTGATTGTATCTTTTTAGCGCGCGGGTAAAAGAAGACATAATACCAGTATACAGAGTTATGCAAGATATGAAAAATAAATAGAAGGGGTTTTGCTCCCTCTCTCACAATGTTAGAACTTAGGCTAATTCACAGTAAATAAATGAGGGGAGATTCACAATTAATAGCATGAAGTACTTTTTTATACAATGCGTACACGTCTGGAATTAACTTCATAAGAATTTGATAGCCACCAATTTAGACTGATTCAAGAGAAGACCTGAGAAATGTAAATGAAGGTTTAAGCTATAAATGGCTACTAGCTGTGAATCATAGACAACTATAGCAACGTTTAAGCCTAAAATAAAATAAATATCTTAAATACCACCAATATTAAAGTACTAAAGTTAATAAACACTAAATCCTAAAGGTAAAAACGAATGGTGAGAAGAAGCAAG